GGGGGTGGGGGGGGGGGGAAGGAGGGCAGGAGGCATTGAGATTAGCAACGGGTAAAAAAATCGATGTCATCGCTCCCCCACCCACCACCCATGCACACTGAGCCCTCGCAGGCGCACCCGTAGAGCCAAATAAAACAACGCGACTACACGCTTGCCGCGTTGAACGAGAGCAGAGACGTGGGTGCACGCGAGGATACAGTGGAATGTACGGGGAGTATGGGTAACGGGGGTATGAGGATGGAAGTGGAAAAACGGGCGGGAAAAGCGACTCCATACCCACCAGCCCACCACCCCCTTCTGGATCCCGGGATGGATGGACGTGTGTATCGTACGTATAGATATATAAGGCTGGTCGGTGCATCAGCGGCGTAAAAAGAGAAACGTTGGGTTGAAAAAAAAGGTGGGGGGTAGAAGGGAGGAAAATGGAGGGAATTGGGAGGGGTGTCAAGCGGGGGAAGATGAGTTATATGCAATTGGTTAGACGCTGCTGGGAGAAATGCGTTTCGCTCGTATAGAGGAGTCGGGGTATTGCAGGGGTTAAAAATTCGATTAGTTTTGTTGGATGTCGTTTAGTTGATTTGAATTGTAAGAAATGAGGGAAATGCATTAGGAGGTTCATTGATAAAGGGAGAATTTAGTTGTAATTGGGTTGGGAAAGAAATGCAGAATTGAACATTCATTTTTTGTTGAAACAACATTTTTCGATTGACTATCATTAAATTGATTTGAGATGATTTGAATTGCTCTGTCTTCATATAGTATAGCTATATGTCATTTTACACGAAATATTCCTCTATCGTATATAATTTATCAAATGAATTGGGAATTTGAAATGCATTGATAAAGGAAGAATTAACTCAATTCAAATCATGAAAGAACTGGAGAAGAAGAATTAAACATTGATTTTTAATTGAGAATGAGGTGATAAATAAATGAAAAAAGGATAAATATAAAGAAAATTTAGTCTATCTGGTTATTCGTTACAACCCGCAGAGAGCGGTGGCGCGGTTATTTAAAGAGAGCTGAGGGTAAACTGGGACATTGCCAATAAATAGGAGTTGGTTTAGTTGTATAGGGACGGTAAAGCGGCGGTAACGGTGTGAACGGCTGAGTTGAGCGCTTGTGGTTGTATGAGGCAAATGTTGGATTTAAAAAGGGCGGAACGTCAACGAAAACCCTTCAATATCACTAAATGTGCACCCATTACCTTTTGCATATTCACAAACTGTGGAAACCATTTATTCAAGTCAAATTAATAGTTTTTAAATCTAAATGGAGGATTGATTAATTTTCAATGAAAATTGAATGTTGTTGAAATAAATTAAAAAAAAAAAGTGCAAATAAAGATGTTAAATTTATTCAAATAGATCGGCCCCCCTCGATATTTATCGATAATTCATCCGTCCCAAAGATAACTCAACTTATATACTGTTCCACCACTTCCCTATACTATCGATCTTTCCACCCCTCACAAATAGAAAATCTACAGTACAAGTCTGTATACATAGCTACTACTTAATAAACTTTGGTGTATTTGTACCCCTGCTACTAAAACTAGTCATTTCCCACCCGACAATTTCATAAACTGTGCTATGAGATAAATACTCAGACATTTTCCATACTTACCCTCATTATTACTTTATGATGACTAAAATTGCCAAAAAATTACCTGTTTGTGCATCTCCACATTGAGCCCGTAAGACATCTCGTAGTACTGCAACAATTTAAAGGAAAATAAAAAACATTAATTGATCAAGCAATGTAGACAATAAAAAATTTGTTGTTGGTATTTTTCAAACTTTTAATTTTTCCATTTAAATAGGGTTAATCTCACTGAATCATTTTTTCTTTTTTTTTTTTTATTATTTGCTTATTATTATAAATTGTGGCCAATTTTTATTCTCATGACCCTGATGATCTTTATCTAAGAGCTATTCAAGCAATTTCAAGGGTTCACATAGCAATGTCCTACATATTTGGAAATTCTCCCCACCATCTCCCAAAACAATTATCTCCCAAAAAAAGCTAAACTCACAAAGAATGCGCTGGATTTGCAGGTGCTCCATCCTAATGAAAAGCATCCCCCCGCCGTATGCTCGTGGTTTCGAATTAGAATATCACAGGCGAAAGTGGGCAGCGAGGGGGTCGGGGTAATAAGACGTAGTCCAAAGGTAATCACGAAAAGCGAAGGTGGTAAGAAACAGTAGAGAGTGACAAAACGTGCACACAATCGCTACGTGGCGTATTCAGCTCCCTCGTACATACACACCCGATACGATAAACGCATTTTATAAAACTATACATATATCTGTGTAATACTTACCAGGAGCATGTCAAACTCTCGACACAACCGCTCCGTCTTCTTTCATCTCTCTCCACCCACGACAACCCCATCTCTATCTTCGTTTACTTTGGTGATATCGATTACCAGCTCAACTCACTTCTCCCCACCGCGCGGCCGACGGCGTCCCCCCCCCATACCTCTTGCCGCGCAATCACCCTTACTTTCTCGGTGTGTCTCGTAGGTGTGTTGCATTGGTGTATAGTATAGCAGTTTACCAGAGTCCTGGGTATATAGATATCACATACAAATGCACCCAGAAAACACGAACACGTACGCAGGGGTGAATTCACCCTGCCCCCCCCACACCTTCATCTAACTGTCTTGGTCCGTCATCGTGGGCTTTGTCATTCGGAATAGAGTGGAATAGTATCTACTACTATGCGCCTGTTTCTTGTGCTCCTGTGACGATCATCGTTATCGCGGGAGAAGCAAACCGGTGGATTAATTACCTTTATCTTCGCATCTACATCACTTTCCAAGTTTTTTTTTTTTTTTTGAGAGTTGAGGGCTTTTTTAATGGTTTTGACGGAATACTTGGGGCTTCGGAGGTATTCGCGTTTCATCAATTATGCTTGAGGGTGAACTATTTAGATTATTTTGATACTTCTCTTGGAGATAATTTTCTTTTTTGGTGTTTTAAGAAAAGCTGAGGGAGAAATGCATTGCTTTTGTGCCTTTGTCGATTATTTCTTCGTATTATTAGACGTGAGTTCTCTCGTTTGGTTTCACATAATGAATTTTTAATGAGCTTTTCTCGAATGCTATATTATACTTATCAGAAAGACTAAGAGGGCGATCTGAAGAGGGTAAATGATTTATAAATGGTTTATAATTGTGACAACATGGCAAATGGCTATTAATAAATTCATCGTTGAAGATTTAACACTTAATTTTTGTTGAGTTGATAAATTTGAGTGCTACTCATAAAAAAAAATATTTCTACAATATCGTATAAATATTTTGAAAATTATAATTTCAAAACGTATCGCAGTATTTCATCCAGATGAGCCAACCAATTTCTTGCGCAGCCCTGTCTATCGATTGACCCTTTCAATTGATCCACGGTAAAAAATCATTTTAAATCCACGGAAATTATTCCGTATATCCACGGTAAATTTTGGCGGGGAGCGTGTGAATAGATGCTGCCAAATGGGACCCAGAGAAATAAGTTTATTGTAATGATGCTTTTATTCAAACTCAGAATTGATTTTTATTTATGTTTTTATTCACTTTATCAAATGAAAATTTTTTTGTAATATAAAAATTATTATTGACTTTATAATTTGATTTCATTCAAATGCCTCATTTCTCTAGGTATATTGGTCTAGGTGTCTCCTTTTGTTTTGATAGACAATTATTATTTTCGTAATTATGAAACTTACCATCACGTAGTGCCTCTGCACCTCAGTCTTTTCATTGACTAATTTCTCATAATCAAGTTTCAGCCTAAAAAAAATGATTGATGATTGGTTTTTCATGAGTTTGACGGTAAAAATGTACATATCCCAGGTAGGAATTATACAGGCTGACGATGGAAACAAGCTTGTGCGAGCCTAGCTTTGGCGAGGGTCAGTGACTCAGGCCTGGGACGGGCTCGACTTCATCGTTCACTCGAGCCTGAAATGAGGGCGATTCAAGGGGCCATTGCCAAGGTTCAACTCAGGCCTAGTCAGGCTTTGAGTATTGAGGCTCAGTACGTCAAGGCTTATTCGAGCCTCTGCAAGGCCTCAAAAATCCAAGTTAGTTTCGATTACATTTCTTAATTTTTATATCGATTAACGTTTCTGATGCTAATGAAACACTCGGAGGCGCCAGAAATGTCGAAATAAAAAATTTTTTTTCCACCTGGAGCCAAAGTGTCATCTCGAATTTTTCAGGGGAAAGTCGACTGTCGGCAAAATCGAATTTTTCCGCCGAGTGAACGTTGATTCTGCTCAGCCTTGGTTGAGCATTTCCAAGCCCTGCTCCAGGGCTTGATGAGTCCTGTTTCTATGGTCAATTCCTACCTGGGTACCGACAAGTTGGTTGAAACTGAACAGTAGAAATGAGAAACGCCAATACTCACGAGTGGTACTGCTGCTGGATGAAATTGAATTCTTCTTTGATTCTTTCGCAAGTATCAGCAACTGTGAATTTCAGACCACCCGCAGCCGTGCCGCTTCCACCGCCCCCCTGATAACAATTAAAATGTTGAGAATCTGATTAATTTTCTCATGCTGAGGTAAGAGGTATTTTAATTGCAATATCAGACTCAAGACAAGATGAAAAGAATGAAAAACAATGGAAAATGCTTGAAAATTATTTTTTTATTTTTTACATAATATTTGAATCGATAATATTTTTCAATCACAGAGCTTGAATATATTTATAAAGTGAAAAATTAATTTTCACTATGATAAATATAAATAATAGGGGAAATAATGCGTCAATATTAGATTTAATTTAGGTGAATATTTCGAATATTCTCAAGCATTTTCTTTTCTTGTAGGTATTCGTGTATTCGACGAGAATAATTACCAATGCATGCCTCAATTGCCCAATTTCCAATGAAACAAAAAGGAAAAAAAGGAAAAAAAAATTAATTGCCCCAATCGTCACAGCCAAACTCAACTCTTTCGTTATCACCCCATCAACACCCCCATGTCCCCCATTCAATGACGAATTCATCCGCAAAACTGGACTATGTTATCTGCCATTTATTGCCCAACCGAAAGTGCCAAATGGTTGGAATTTTAAACTTTTCGTCAGTGCACGCGCATTTGCCCGACAGTGAAAATCATTTGGCCACTTGTTGATCCGCATGGAGGACAGCAGAGAGGGGGGTAGGAGGGGCAGACCGTGTGATCGTGGGGGTTGGTTTTCACAGGAGCCAGGAAATATACGACGATTGGGGTCACTCTAAGAGGGGGAGGAGGAGAAAAACGAGATTTTAACTTGTTGCAATCATCAAACGCAACAGTCATCAAACATTGATGTTGTGCATTTCACTGGGTACATCTATCTTGACCCTCTGTAAATTGGCAATTATTTTTTACACGCACATTTTTTCCCATTTGAAAACGAATTGCATTAACAAGACAAAAAAGTGGCGAGTTGAATTTTGAATTTTCATTTCCTCTTAAAACATTAATGACAGGCAATTCGACAAACAATCAGCCGAGGGCCCAATTTGATTAGTGATTGTCATCCCCTCGAATTTAATTTTTTTTGTATCCCAATGAGAGTTGAGTGGAATGACATGGAATTTTTGTTTTGTTTTTCGTTCAGTGGAGTTGGCGCTCTCCTTTCAATATCATCATTTGTTTGATTCAGGTAGCAACGTCATTACAATTTTAACAACAATCTGTTGGATTATCCACGCCTTCGACGTGCGTTAGTTGTGCAAATTTTTTGGGGTTTTGATGGAAAGAACCAAGGAAATTTCGTAATTTCATCAATTTGAACAATGTTTGGTCATATGATTGTTTAACACTTGAAAATATTCCACTAGCTTCGGCTTGATAGTTATTTTATAATTAACTGAAAATTTGAAAATTTTCTATTGTTATTGTCGTTTATTAAAGACAAAATTCATTTACTTGGCCATAAAAACAATTGAGAATTGCAAAAAAATTGTGCAAAAGGGAAAAATTCGAAAGCTGCCTCAAGTATTGATAGAAAAAAACAGACTCCTAATATTCTGAGATTTCTAATACTCTAATTTAAAAAATTTTGAAATTGACATTTTTAGCCTTAAAAATGCTCTCCCCGCCCCAAGGAGAAGAAAAATTACAGTAAAAATAAAGTGAAAAGCAGAACGAGAAGAAGAAAGAAAAAAAACATCAAGGAAAAATTTTTGTCCCTAGGTAATGCACAACGCGGCTACAGCACAAAGCGTTCCGTGGCGCACGGAGTTTGCACATTGTTTGCTGGTTGCTGGTATATACTCCCAAGAGCGTAGGGTCCCCTCACCCCTCACCCCACATTACACTTATTGCCCACCCACTCCACTTGCATATAAATATGAAAAATAAAGAGCGAGAAAACGAAGAAGAATATGGAGGGACATCGGTCTCGGGAGCGATTTTGGAAAATCATTTTATCTCATAACTCGAGGAAAATGACATGTATACGTGGTATGGGACAAAGTATGTACACCCGCTAGTGAGAGTAAATAAGACCATTTGACAAGCATTTACAGCGCCCGCCCGGGTTATTAACTCCCAGCAGCGCCCCTATTAGACCAATCAACTTTCAAGGCACAATATATTATACAAGTAATAAAATTGATCAATTGGTGTGAATCTTTCGGTATGATTTTTAGAATTTTTTTGATTGGTTGGATAAAAAGCGGAACAATCAAAACATAAAATGAGTTTTATGAATCCTCTGGCTCCGGTGACCCTCAGTTTAAACAATAGTTGTTTTTAATCATTTGAATTGTTTTTACTCAGTTGAACCCATTTTTGAGTGATCACGAGGGTGAGAAAGTTCAGGAGGGCTTTAAGAATCGTTTCAAACATTTTACGACTTTTTTCCATTTCAAGAGAAAAAAAAATTCACAAAATGTTCAAACTTTTAGGAATAAAAAAATCTACAACTTGGTAAATTTCCCGAAAAAATATTACTAAAGTCCCAAATACATATGAACGATGAGATAACCCTCTACTCGGGGTTAGATAGATCGAAAAAGTTGAAGAGTGGAAGTGAAGGAGGAAGTGTAAAGCAAACAATTATCCTATCCTTTGCTATTAAGTTTCTCCCCTCCAGGCTTTATAAATACGTCTAACGGAGGGGGAAAAATGTGTTAAAAGAGAAGAATGACAAATTAAAGATCGAGGGGATTGCCAGTGATATTCACACCTTTTTAATATTTTTAATATTTTATTACCTTTTTTTTTGCTTTTCTTTCAATTAAAGTTTTATGCAAGCAAAAACACGTTGATATGTGTAGTAATAGATGTATTTATAAATCTAGTCTAAAAAAATTGAAAAAACATGGAATTTTTCATTTCATTTCATTTGTACTGCCATTTTTCCTCTCTTTGGAGTTTATAGAGAACTACTATCTGCTGATGTCTGTTTTTATTTCAATTCTTGGGTAATTTAATAATTTTATAATGAATGCTTAAGAGAGCTTTTAAATTTTTTTGTAATTATCCATTCATTCATTATTATTTTCACTTACGGCAGCGGCTGGGTGTCTGGCCGGTGCGGGATACATCTTAGGCTTTCCCTTAATCACGTGATATTCCTTGTATTCCTTGGAAGAAAACAGTCATTGGACCACATTATGAGTACTCACTCCTACGTGCATCACACAACCACCAACACCCACATCACTTGGTATCCCCCACCCCTCCCCCCCTCCCCCCCGAATAATCAATGTTCAATACATTTTATCAGTCAGGCGAAATACTTGATAAATTTTTATTTTACACATTGATATATGTTAGAATGATATTCTCATGTTAAATCGATTAAAACCGAGTTATCGTAAATAAAGAGTCGATTAATGGTTTAATTAATTAACAGAGTTGTCACAGATTTTTTTATCATCCACCCGACTCCTTAATATGTTGTTGAACAATAACTGCACACCCACTAGTTTCGTATCACTTCTCTTCTCAGCTTGATATATGTACTCCCAAACACCCATTCACCACCCCCTTGAAAACACTTTTCACGTCATTACAACGACGCGTCGCTTCCTACTTCCAGGTTTCTTTCACCGTCACCGTATATAAAACTTTTTTTCCACTTGTCCACCGATTGTATTTCTTCTTGATTATTGTGGGTGGTTCATTCGTATTGCCACTATTTGTCATGTTCAGTATTTAACACTATTTACGTTCTTTTAGATGCTCTTTCGGACTCTGTGATGTATCTGGAAAATGAGAAAAATATAAAATCAAATAGTTGGAATAAAATATCGAGCGGAATGTTTGCAAAGACTTTAACTGTTTATTCGCATGAATAAAAGGCCAATAGTTGCAATTTTTATGGCCTGTTGTAATAGCCGCCAATGATGTGGTTAATTGACAAGATGACACAGATGAAGGCATTTTTCTCTCTTTTATGTATTACGCACTCATCATCCCCAATAATCAACAAATGTAGTCATATTCCTATAAAACAATAGCCCACGCTAAGAAACAAATAATCGCTTTGTCACAGTTCGTAATTGGTTTTATGCTCGACTTAACAGAATCTATTTGCGTCCTCTTTATTATTTATTCGACCTGATAATTCATCACTCGGAGGAACAATCGGAGGAGACATCGACAAGTTGATAATAAGAAAGTCTCAATCCAGTATACATTAATCCCGCCAAAAAATCCTCGACCCAAAATGAACAATTAATTAATCAATTCAATGGATTCACACAAAGACACTAGCAATAATTATTCATAATGGATGAAATAATACAGATAGTAGGTACCTCGTAAAATGATTGAGAGCCAACAAACACCGATGAAACAAGTATTTTGTCCATATTTAATCATTTATTGAAGAACAATTGCCAAAACTGAGGCATCACTTATCATGAAGAGTATCAAGACTAGATCAAGACAATTCCACCCGTTGCTATTATAATATACCCCCTGAGACCTCCCATTTGATAGACGTATGACTAATTAAAACGCGTGTACTATCTATGATTTAACCTCGTAGATGATGTACTTGGTGCAACGAGCAACGCTCGACTGAGCCATATAATAATAATACCGTACCGCCGTTGTGGCGGGGGGGGAGAGCACGAATGTGAACTGGGATATGACGGGAAACGTGTGAACGCCGCTTGCCGCCGCGATGGAAACAGCAATGGGGGGGACGAGAGCGTTCACCACTACCAACTTCAGTGCAGAGATTAACACAAACACGAGGGGAGACCGCCCGAGGTCTTTCCTGGTACCCTTCCACCCCTTGCCGCCCCATCAACACAAATTTACGCTGTCTCTGAGGTTCGGTATCAAGCATGCTAACGCCTTTGTGTCCTCTCTCAATAATCTATTCGGCGTGCGCTTCATATGAAATATCATCGTTTTACTGCTGAATGGTTATCCAGAGAAGGCTTCTGTAATTTCTTCTTGAAAAAGAGTATTTCATGTTTTTACATGTCGTAAAGTTGTGGAGGCAAGACCGGTGTCATTAGGATATCGCTCATCGGGTTCTGTTTTGGAATCCTAAATAATGGGCCAAGTATATGCCGCGTTGTCGTTATGCTGCCTCTTGGAGGCAGCTTCTGAACAGGCCTCATGACCTTGGACTTGTCGAGGCTTTATGTTTCCAAGATTGAATGTTAGGAGTTGCAGTAACAAGTACTTGGCACCAGACATTACCGTACCTCAAAATTCGCTTTGATTTGACATAAATTGTTCTCTCACGTCTGTAATATTGGTTAAACGACAGTTTGAAAAAATTATAATGAATGTAACATGAGAAAACTTGAAATAATCACAAGTAATGAATTCCAAACATTCGTCTTTCATAATATTTCGACAAAGAAAAATGGTAAACACCATGATTTTCAAAGCGTTTACATCAACATATAGGCCAAATGTCAAATGTCAACACCTGATGTAACATGTACTTGTCTCCAAACATATTCATCTAAAAAAAATTGTTCTCTGGATTCGAAAATGGCTGAAGCATGAATAATTTACCTCCAGTCACACATCATAAAATCAATTGCCACAGATATAGGAGATGGAAGACGTCAATGGTTGGCTACAGTCCGTATGCCTGTACGCGCCACGTACTTATCTATGTATAATAGCGCATGGTGGAACTAATCGTATTATTGGGTGTTCGGATGAATTGGGCTCGTGACGTGATCGGAAAACAGAATAGGGGTTGCGGAAAGCAAAAAGATGTTCAGTTGGGTGTGAGCATAAAGTTTTATTGGATAACATACATCTGTGGAGCTCTTGATTGTTAGATGACAATTATTTTCTTTGAGACATTTAAAATTATTCAACTAATAATTAATCACAGATATACTCAATAGTTATTAAGGAATTTACAAATTTATAGATAAATTATTGTCATTGTTAAGTGAAAATTGAAAAAATTTTGACTTTATTACAATTAAAAAACGTGGACTGAAAATTTTCGAATTTTCTGGGAAACTCGAGACTACGTTTGCAATGTCTCTGATGGCTCTTTTAACCCTTATGACTCTAATTTTTCAAAAAAGACCCTCGTGACTGATGTGAACCTTGACGATTAAAAGAAAAAAAAAGCTAACAATAATTTATCCATCATTCAGTTGAAACGAAGAACGATTAAAAAAAAAATCGGAATACCACCATTGGCGACATCCCACACGTCTGACCACCATCAATCTCCGTCTCACATCCACCATTTATCCCCAATCGATACAACAGATTTCTCAATTATAATGCCTCCCCTCCCAGCAGCAGACCAATATCATTTCCCCCCTTCACTTGACGCAACTATTATTAGTTTCATCATCCACACCCTCTTGTCTGGGCTGCAAACGTCAGAATATAGAAAGGAATCGTGAACAATCATTAATTCAATTGTGAAAAAAAAAACAACAAAAACATTTAAAAGTTCCATATGCATCTGAACGGAAAGAGTGACAACCGGTTCCTCTTGAAATTCCGCATTCAGTAGATGGATTTTTCACTCATCAGCGAAATAATAAATCAATGAGCAATAAAAAAGGAAATGGAGAATCCGGAAGTGAACGTTTACGTGAGTGGCATTGAGCGTACTCGAAAAATACATTCGATCCACATCGGCACTCATCGTTATTGAGAATAACTCAAGCAATTTTAATTTAATACCTCAGCATAAGAAACCATTCACATCCTTCAATTGCAAAAAAAAAAAAAAAATGAGTGGAATTTTGAGTGAAATAGTTGAATCGAAATTGGCCGAGTGACAGTAGAAATTCGAGTTGAAATATCTATATGATTTTTTTTTCGAAAATGGCAGCTGACCCACTTGACGCTAAAATTAATAAAATACGACAGCAGAATGAAGAGATAAGACGACGTTACGAGGTAATTAACACATTCCCTCTTGGATAAAATTACTCATGTTTCTAAAAAGGTTTCAGTCTCTTGTTGAAATTGAAAGATGATAGCGAAATATGTAAGTATTCCGGCCTTGTTGGGCGCGCGGAGGTATTAGGAGATATTTAATTAGAAAAAAAATGGTACATTGATATTAAGCAGAGTTGATTTGATTTGTTTTAAAACTTTATTCACTATTCCTAAATTGAAAAGTTAATATCAATCAATCAATAAATTGATTAATTATTGATAAAATTAAGTCCTTATTAATCGTCAATCAAGAGATGTTGATTAAAGATTACATAATGATTTATGCGAAATTAATTTGGTGTTTTCCCTTCATCAGGAAGTTGAAGCAGATAAGAAAAATGCTGCAAAATCAAATGCGCTAGTGCAGATGGTACCCTCCACCGACTGGCCACAACGAAAAGAGCCCCCTGAATTCTTCTCCCCCCCGCAACCCTCAAAAACCCTGACAAAACCACGAAACACACATTCCCCAAGAGATCACAAGGAGAGCATTCAATATCGCGCGGGTGGAGAAGGAAAGAAAGGCCACACATTTTGCCAGAGTGAAGGGCCCCCACCAGACCCAAAATACAATTTCCTCGCTGACTCCGAGCGCGAGGAGCCACATGAGAGCTTTCCACGCGAGTCCGACAAGAATAAAGCACGGGGAAAAACATCACGTCCACATTTTAGGAAACAAAGGGGCGGGAGGGAGTTTCGTGGAAAAACAGGGGGCTCAGGACAAGATTTATTACCTGATTATGAGGCGTGGAGGGCTGAGAGAAATAAAATTGATGAGGCGAGGATCAGTAGACAGAGGACGGCCGAGGGAAATTGGAGACGTGAATGGGATAATGATAAAGTAAATATTGAATATTGTTTCTAAATGGAAGTTTTGTTATCGCTCAGATTTCAACATTTGGAATTTTGTTTATCTGATACTAATGAATAGATGGAATTTAAACATTTTCATCATCATTTTTTTTCCCCTCAAATTAGGATATTGTAAGGCCTGTCAATCGACATTAATTAAAATTTCGAATATTCGAGTTTTATTTTTTCCTCAAAAATCGCTTGTTTCACGACAATTCAAAAAGCTTTTTTCAAATTAACAATTTCTTTAGAAATATGATGTTCTACAACATTGCATTTTATCCAAGTTTGAAGATAATACCCTCACGCAAAGAATATACACATCGACTTGTTTTATTTCCCACCCATTATATTAATTTCATTAATTGTCCGTCCATTATATTCAATAATATTTACACTTTCCGTTATGTCTTGTTGAAAATTTCAGATCCATTTAGCTGGTGATATCACGAAAAGGGATTCTCATACACTGGGAGATGCTATGCGATATCCAAGAAATTCATCCTATTCCTACGGACGAGAGTCTGATGACCAAAGGAGAATCATCAATTCTACTGATCAGAATGCACAAATCAATAACAGTACGAATGGATCCAAGAATGTCCTGATGAGTGTCAAAGGTGAGTTGATCATTTGGTATTCAACATTATTGAACATTCATATTAATCAAATTCTATTGCATGAAAAAAAAAACAGTAATTGCAACTATTCTTTTCGTGTTTTAGTGAGCTCTTCCAATATTGCTGGAACAGGTCGAGTTGGCCCTCGTCAGAGAAGCCGCGTGGTGTACAGTAGCCAATCAGAAAAAGACTCACTAAACTTCCAAGTTGGAGATTTTACTGTTGAAACAAGCCCAGAGGATAAACTGAAATATAACAATTTCAATAATTCCAAGGGCTTTCATTCTGAAAGGAGAAATGATTCAGACAAGTCTCCTCAGGCTCTCGGACGAGAGCACGAGAGGAACGATAAAAAGTTTCATAAAAACGACCTTAAATCCACAACTTTTAATAGTAAAGACTTGAGGAATTTTCCAAAGTTTCAGCATGTGCAGCGGCAAAACACTGGGATGACTTGTCAATCTAAGTCATCTAGGAATATTCGAAAATTTGACTCGAGTTTAAATGAGCCAATGATGCAGGAATCAGTATCATCAGAAATAAACGAGATAGCTCCTGTGGGGGCGAGAGATAAAAATGTTGCTCAAGGTACCAAAAGTGGCAGTCATGACGGAGAAATTTCTATAGTTAAGAGGGATGTGAAAGAAGTAGTGGAAACTGCTGGTACTCATCATGAAGAGTCTCCACATATCGAACACCATGAGTCATTTAAATCCTCTTCTGATCAATTCCATGATGATCTTGATAGTGATGATGTCAATATTAATGTTGAAAATTATATTGATGCAGTTGATAAACATTATGAAAACATCAACGATTATCGAGAAATTCAAGAGAACGAGGATGAAATAAAAATAGATTCGCAAGAACAAAAGCAAGAAGAGGGAGTGAATGTTCTTCAACATTATCCACAAGTCATTGATGACAATGCAATACAAGTAATTGATAAAGCCATATTAAATTCGAATATCCAAACTGGAGGAGAATTAAGAGACAAAATTTCAGTTCCTGAAGTTGAGGAAATGTAATTTATTTGAATGCTTCAAGTTTTCTATTCATTGAGATGAACCTTTCAAGGTTTCTTTATCATTGTCAAGCATAAAATTCCTCACATGGCGATAAAAACTATTGAAAATTTTGTTAAACTCAAGAATTTCCATCAAAACTCACAGAGTTTAAAAAATTCTATAAATTCAATACAATTGCTGCATTTTCTACGAGAGTCTTGTTAAAATTTTCTTAAAAATTAACGATAATTTTCAGCAGTTTTCTTTCTCCCTGCAAGTTCATAACAACATTTATTTATTCTCTTTTTTTTTAACATTAAAACAAAATTAAAAGCTAGTTCATCGATGGATCTTTCTGTCTAATGACAATTTAACAAATTGTGATATATATATTTTTTTTATTATTGAATCAATAGTCTGAATTTGTCATAATGAAATCCCCTCTCACACTATGGTATTTCTACATACATGAATATGTTGAAGCCAAAATTATTTTCACAACGAAATTCGATATTTTCGATGGTGAATTGAGCTTCCAAATTTTCATTTCGATCATGATATGATTAGTTTTTATGAGATTCTAATTATGGAGAGTTTCAGATGTTCAAAAATTATTGTATTGCACAGTGCCAACATGTGTTGTAGGTACAATTTCGTCACTTTGTATCTATTTATTCAATTAATTTAACCGAAAATTTTAAAGATTTTTGTTTCTTCTTATGTGATGAAAGAAATGGAAATATATAGATTAATATATTCGCAATTCAATGTTAGCAAAAAAATATCTAAGATGAGTGTCTCTACTGAATGAAAACGGAATGAAATTAAATATCAAGAATTTTTCATGCAGAAAAACTCATCTTACCAAGAATAAAATTATTCAAGATAAATCATCATCTCCAGTAATAAATATTTTAAATCCTCTTTACTACCCCTAAATTAATTGATAACGAACAAAAATAGAGAACAAAATCATTCAAGCATAATGATTTTTTCAACTTTTTGTTTTTCGCAACTTTCGCGCACATTCATCATGGCCGTCGGTCAGTGGCAGAGAATGGAGACTTTGGCGTTCGTCCGCGGATTTTCAGTGAAAAAGGGGATTAAACCGGAGAAATAATTATTAATCGTGCAATAATCAGTTAATACTGATGGCAGGCTATGATTTTATCAAGAAATCAGAGTTTATTAGTGCATATTATGAAGCCTAGACCTCCAAAAAGTGCAATGTCAAATTTCACCATTGCGCAACTCCTCCGCGCACATTCATCATGGCGGCTGGCCACTGGCAGGGGATGGAGAGTTTTGGCGTTCGTCCGCGGATTTTCGGTGGGAAAGGGGATTAAACCGGGGAAATAATTATTAATCGTGCAATAATCAGTTAATATTAAGTGCCGGGAATGATTTTATCAAGAAATCAGACTTTATTAGTCCATATTATTAAGCCCAGACCTGTAAAAAGTGCAATGCTATATTTCTCCATTGCGCAACTCCTCTGCGCACAATCATCATGGCGGCTGGCCACTGGCAGAGAATGGACGTTTTGTCGTTCGTCCGCGGATTTTCGCTGAGAAAAGCAATTAAACCGGGAAAATACTTATTAATCGTGCAATAATCAGTTAATTTT